AATAAATAAATAAATAAATGTTTGCACTCGTGCTCAAACACGCCCCTCTGAGTGTAATTGTGTGTATTAGTGTAATAGCACTAATGCAACTTGCTCTCAGACACAAACTCGTGCACATTGCGTCCAATCTGCCCTCTCTTGCGTCACGTACGCAGAGCGTGGAGAGCGCGCGTGTCTTGTCTCCATAGCCGCAGGCCACGCGACAAAGGAAACATTGACACACACACAAACAAAAAAAAGGTGTTACCAAGGTCAGCAACACACACACAGGTAACCAACAACTACCAAACCATACAGTGGGCTCGCTAAGCTACGACCACCTTCTGTCTCCGAGGGGGGGAGGAGAGGGGAGGAGGGGGGAGAAACTTACCACAACACAGGGGCTGGATGTCGCCATGTCCGTGTGGGTGCCTGTCGTTTATGTTTTCCGTGCAATGCGGGAGGAGAGCGTGTATTCTCGGACAGGTTTCGCGGTCACATGGAGGCTCTCCGAGGCTGCGAGAGGAGACTGTCTTCTTCCGGGCTGCGGCAGCTCTCTGCTGTTGTGTGTATGGTGACGCAGGAGCGCGGCGGCCAATCAGATGAGGAGGGGCGGGTTAGCCACGCCCCGTTTTGGCGGAAGTGCATAAGATAAGATAATTCCTTTATTTATCCCCCAAGGCTAAATTCATTTTGACACAGCAGCAATAGGGCCAAGACGCAAAAAACACAAAACAATGAATATCACAGTAACAATATTGCTATATATTAATATTACTGCAAGATATAAACTATAAATTAAAGTATATACAGCTACTTTGTTGTTCCATGGAGTCCAAAAATATAAGTCAGAAAATTAAACTTGATAAAATAAAAAATAAAACTAAACTAAAACTACTGAACTACTAAAGTGGAAATTAAAAGTGATATAAATATATTGTTAAGTAGCAGTGGGGGTAGTGGTGCCTGAGGAGGTAGGTATACTCTTAGTGTCTGCTTTAAATTATATATTTTTTCTCTCTCTTGCATATTTAGTTCAACCATAAATGGCCCTGTAGTGTTTGCTCATTGTCTTGAACTTCTGCTGTTTGACTTCAGGCAGTAAGGATAATTATGAAATTAACATTATCCACAGAGGAATCTGGCCCACAGACCACAAAAAGGGATGGAAATTGTGTCATGTTTTTGCCATCCTTGGAAAACAAACCAGCTAGTAGCACACATTGACAAAGAACTACATACTGCTGAATAATGGGAATCAGAGGGGATTTAAATGTGTATACACAATGCTGACTGAAATATAAGTTGGGTTGTGCAGCCTGTCCAAAAAAAGGATAAACATCCTGTGCTATAAGACTACTTTTGCCTGTTTAGCCCACCTAAACATGGGCCCAGTAATTTAACTTCTGCTGCTTGACTTCAGGCAGTAAGGATCAACATTAGCCACAGATAAGGGACAGATAACATACAGACAGGTGAGAAAACAACCTAATAATGCATTTGAAGTTAAGTATTCTTGATTCCTTACTCCATGTGGGTGTACTCTGTATACCTGAGTAGCAGCCATAGGCCTGACTCTTAAGAGTAGTCTGCACTTCATAACCATGACCTTGGACAGCTGCACAAACCTACAGATTAGCTTTTTAGGGCATGATAAGTATAGCGAGAGAGCAGGTTGATTATGCATTTTGCAATAGACCTTTTTCACAACTGCCGTTTGACAGGAAATAGTAGGGAGAACAAAGGTTACTAATAATGAGAAACTGAGAGAAACTGAAAACCCCCATTAGTATAGAACAGTACATACGTTTCTAGAAGTTGTACAGTATGCAGTATTGAATTGGGACAGAGTATAACTTAATAAAACTGAGCTGTACAATAATGTAAAAAAAACTGTATATTTTTTCCTATCACATATATATCAAAATATAGGCAGTGTTAGGGAAGAATAATATTCCTGCAGGTTTACCAAAGAAAGTACTGTCTCCTATTTGTAATACCCTCAAAATCTTACTTGGTTACTATGAAGATTTAGCTTAGTTGTGATTTAAGTTCTGGTATTTAACATAAAGGCTTTACTTTAATCACTATCAACATATTGACTGTCAATACTACATCAAGATACTGTAGCATATATCTAATGATGACTTGTTTAAGTGCATAAAATGTGTACATTTATATAAATTAAATGCACAAATTCATCCGTACAAAGTACTTTTTTTAAATACGGGAGCATGTTGGGCCTTACAGTGCATTGAGAGTTTACAGCTACAGGTATCTTGCACAATTGCACGGTCTGACCTGCAGTTAGTGTGACATTCCTCACTCTTCATACCTCACCAGAAATCTTCACCTTTAACACCCTGTAACCAGTCATGATGAATACTGCTTTGTGTCTCGCAGACACACTCAAAATGAAAGACTCAATTCACTCATTAAATGTGTAAAATAAAATCTTTCCTATTTCCAATCATTCATGGATACATTTGTAGAGATACAAGTAACAGTACATCAAACAAAGTCAAGCCAACTCTTCTAAAGAGCTATACTTTGCTCTTTAGCAGGTAAATAAAAAAATGCCACCTTTAACAGTGGGGGAAATCCAAGTGCATGCTGGCAAAACTTGTAATCGTGACTGTTTGAAATCCAGATATTCAAAATTACTCATGATGATAATACAGTAGCAAAATATTACATATCAAGAAAGAAAGGCTAACATCAAAAGAGTTTTCTTAAGACATGATTACAGAAACAAAGTAATCAAACTGCACAACTTGATAGAGAGACTAGTAACAAACAGACCCATCTTAAAAGTGAGTCCTTCAGAAGCTAAGGAAGAGCAAGAATGTGTCGATTTCAGCAAGTGTGGGTCATGTAATCTGTGGGGGACACAGGCAGAGGGTGACAATCGAAACATCAGTCCATCGGCTCTTATTCACGGCAATAACACATGTATTTTGAAACCGAGCCCATAGCTGACTCTTGGGGGGGAAAAAAATTGGCAATGGCTTTTCATGATCCTGCAGCAGTCCAGTGCTCTGCAGAGTACCACCAGTTTGTAAAAAGCTCATCCAGCCAACTCAAAACAGGGTCTCATGAAGAAGACGCCTGGCGCACATTGGGGCATCATGTCCATTTACTGAGAAACCTTGTGAGGGACTCGTGGGAGCTTGTAGACCACGACGGTGTGAATCGGCTAAGATTTAGTATAAAAAAATATCACTCCCTCGTCTTTGAGTTCTTCTGTTTTCATCCCACGTCACATCCATCGGGCAAACCTGTAAGAATGGCACCAATGAAATGAAATGAATTATTGCTGCTGCTAAAAGGCTGAAACACTCACATTAAATGTAGGAAACAACCATAACTGTTAATGTACCTAGTTGCCATTCACTTGTGTCGATGGTGTTCCTCCGTGGTCGATAGCTGCCCTCTCTCTACTGCGATTCTCTCGTTCCTCATCTTCCTCATCCCTCTCCTCGTTACCACTGTGGTTCTTACAGTATAGTCTGAAAACACACACACACACACAGAGAGGAGGGCTTGTAAATAAGTCAAGGTGTAAAGCCTAAAAAGGATCAGTGTGTGGGATTTAGTGGCATCTAGCAGTGAAGTTACAGATTGGTGTCTGCGTTTGGTAACCAGGGAGTGAGAACGGGCTCTGACGTGTGTTGAAGACACTACAGTGACCGTGAAACTCGTGAATGGTCAGCTTCACACTATGCCACTGATCAACAGCTGGCTGTGGTAAATAAATGTTGACACAAAGTTAGCTAACGTGGATGTAAAGCATGCACAGAAGAGAAAATCTCCATGTAAAAAATATAGAATTATACAGTCAAATGATGTTTAAATCCAACTGTGAAGTACTTTTATTTTTAACTGAAAATGTGTTTATGTGTTTAAGTTGAGCTCACTTGTAAATGCCACGTGCCATGTTTTCAATGTACTTGGCTTTGTCCTGCAGGCCGCAGTGATAGTGGTAGGTCTTCACACAAGCCTTGATTTCACACCCGATGGTGGCACCCAACTGAGTGCAGAGCGTGCATTTCTAGAAAAACAACAAAGCCAACAATTTTGAGTTAAAAATTGATACATAGTTTTCAAACTTTTTCCAAAACTGTTTTTTTAAAACTACAGATAGACGAATCTTCCTACCATTCTTTTCCCTCTCTTTATTTCCTGGATGACTGTTTTCACATCAAAGTTTCCAAATTCAGCCCGTGATGTAGTGGTCAGCTGTACTGTCCCCGATGAAAAAAGCTGGAAGGGATCATAGATTACAGAAAGAAAAAAGTGGCTGTACTGTAAATGCACATTTACAGCGTAAAGGGTTCATATAAACACACACACACACGCACACACACACAACGATCTTACCATGCACTTATAGTGTGCAGCCACTTTTTTGGAGTTATCAGAATGAAGCATGCCCCTTGTTTCATTCTCTTCATCACCAGCGTGACAAAAGCCACAGCGCTGGCCGCCATCTCCCGGGCTGGCCCGTAGAGGTGACCTGTCCCGCTAGAACACACAGAACAACGCTCAAAACACAAGGCCCACATGCAGCAAACTGAGCGTAAAAGTAAACTTCACAGATTGCGTTTGTGAATAGTCGCGTGACCTTACATGGGAGGAACTCTCCTCATCTGCTGCCTGTGACGAGGTGGAGCGGGAGTCTTCTGATTGACCACGAGATCCAACCTTAGTTCTCCCTTTCTCGAACCTTCCTCTGCCTCTACTTTGTGGAGGCGATGAGTCTGAATCATTGGCCACACCTCCCTCTTCATCTATGGTATTAGAATTTGTCATTACAACACCTTTTACAATGATATAAACAATCATCACCATAAAAATATAATGGTTACGTCAGAGTCCTGCACCAGGTCAAGTACCCACTGGGTAACCCACAAAAAAATGGGATAAAAATATATTTATATAAATTAATAGGCACGTGTAAAAGTGAACTAAATGCAGGCATGTGTGTGGTGAGGGGTTCAGCGAACTAGCACAAGGCTCGACTGACATTGGTGCCCAGCTGGCCGTGTGGACGCACCAGCAGAATAGCGAGTAGCAGCATAGTTGGTCACTGATGCTGCCAAATAGACTACAGTTAATTATGATTTGAATTCATGTTCCTATGTATTCTACTTGTAGAAGTAGAAATTGGACTCTTTGTGCAAGCATGTGTGTCAGGGCGCAGGACTTGTATATATTATTCATATGTTAACAGGTTTGCAAAACTGGACCCGTGCAGAACTCTTCTAAGTGTTGTTTGTATGTGTGTTGTAACTGAAAGAAACACCAGGCACCCAGCTGTAAATCCAATCATCCATGTTGCCTGGTAGTATAACAGATGTTAAAGCAAACTTTACCTTGAATGCCATCTTGAGAAGCATCCCGGTGTTTGCGACAGTAAACACTATGTTCAGGAACAAAAGATGGATATTTTAATTCAACTACAACACAGGAAGTAACAGGAATTAAAAATATCTGTATTTATTGTAGACTGGTGTGCAGAAGAGTCCAAATGCATAGTGACTCACAGGTAAATCCCTTGTGAGGGATTCTCTTTGATCTGGGCTTTGTCCTTCAAAGCACAATAATAGTGATACGTCCTCCGGCACGTCTTCACATCGCAGCCAATAGTAGCACCCGGTCGGTGGCATGAAGAGCACATCTGAAGGGGAAAGAAACACACCTACATCTCTCAGGAAAGCAGCCAAGCACACGCTGTTCCACAACATTTCACACTCATTCAAAATAGCTGACAACTAGAAATGTGATTCGTCAATTAGTAATGCCAAATGTGATTTTATGAGTCTGAATAATAATTTATCTCCAAAGATCAAGTGGCCCTGACAGACGCAACTGTCTGAAAGGCCATATGCAAATATCAGGAAACCATCATCCCTGTAGGGTAAAATTGGACTGTGGCAGGAGAAAATTAAATTCAGCAGGGAACACGGCACACACCAAGCTTATACAGAGAAAAGCTAACCTGAATAGGCTGTATAATAAAAAATAAAGCTTTTTTAAATTAATACAAAGAGACATTACCCATCGTTTGTATTTGTTAGCATCTAAAATCACTCTTCAATATAGATTTTACAATAAAACATGTATGTGTGGGTCAAAGTGGAAAAAAAAGTAAATGTATTGTTTAGAAATGTGTATAAATAAACACTGTACCTGTAAATATATGTATAATCTCTATAATAGTATAGTACGTTTATATAGCATGAGCTAGTGTCAGGAAAGTAACTAAAAATATAATGCATGAAAATGATATTAATTCAGAGCAAAATACATTTGCAAATTAAATTAGAAACACTGCTAATTAGAATAGCACTTCAGTGTAAGACAAAAAATAACACATTAAAATGTGGCACAGTCTCTCACACAGTGCAGCTATTAACATTCAGTGTCTGACATACACAGACACACTGCTACTGTCAGAACACTTACACCTCCTAGAGATGTTATTTTTTTATCTGACTTGAATGAGGGTTGACATAGATAATATAACAAAAGGTACACAAATAAAACAATAATTCAATAAATAAATACATTTAAACATTTAACATTTCTTTTTCATTATTTATCTTTTATAAGCTACTCTTGTTTTTGTTTTTATTCTGCTCTTGTTATTTTTTATTCTGTCCTTTTTCTGTATTGTGTTGCAAACTTGCAATTCCCCCATTGTGGGACAAAATAAAGGGTTTTCTTACTCTTATCTTTTATTCTTATCTTATCTTATCTTAAATGTTCTAGTTCTCTTTACGTGTATTTTCTTTGACTCTGAAAAACTGTGTCTTCATTTCCATAACAAGCCACAGTTCCTGTTTCGCAGTGATAACATTATGCCAGTTCCTGGTAACTAGTAAATGTTTTGCCAAGTAGAAATCTTCCCTCTTCACAACATCTTCAGTGTTACATCACAAAGCAGGTTTTTTATTATATTTTACTAACATTTTCACAATATGCCCATATCTTTGTACAATTCCAGAAAATAAAAAAACTTCAAACTCGTGTTCTTATTCAAATAGTTTGTTGGGTTGAGAAATGAGCTCCAACCTGTTCAGTCCACCTGATGATATCTCACTCATATGACACTCCCTCTCCACTCCTCTGACATTAATGCTCCACTAGGAAGGACAGTAGGTACTTACCAGTTTGTTTCCCCTCTTGATCTCCTTTTTCACATCCTCAATTGAAAATCCTCCAATGTTTTCACTGTCTGAGTGAGATGTGACCAGGGCAGAGGAAAAAAGCTGCATGGGATATTTAAAAAAACAAACCAATTTTAATTAGCTTCTACAGTCGTTTTAATTAAATGAGATATTAACAATATTATGTGCATTTTTATTTCCCTTGATCTATTGCTTTTGATCTATTCTACTCTCTTCCCTAATGCACCATTTTCCACTCTACTATTCGGGTTAACATAAGTTTTATTAGCAGCAACGCTGGTTTTTACAGCATTACATAAATTCCCTTTTTTTTTTTTTTTTAAAATGGTATTTCAGAGGCTGTAGAGCAGTGTTTTCATAACCTGGAGGTCAGAATCACCCATGGGACCACAGACAAATTGGAGCCTTTCAAGATAATTTATGGGAGATAAATCACTTATTCCTGCTAAATTTCTTATGTCTGTTTTTTCACTTTAATATATTTTTTCTCCTGTTTGCTTTATGAGATGCTGATTTTTCTGTAGGCTTCCACTTTTAAACAAATTAAACAACATAAAAACACAAAACTGTTCTACATCTATTTTGCATATGTGACATTGGAGCCTGTCTCGGAGGGTTGCAGGTTATACGGTTTGACAATGTGCTCTCCTCACCATGCACTTATGGTGGGCTGCCACCTTCTGGCTGTCGGACATTAGCAGCTGCCCGCACTCCTTGTCCCGGTTGGTTCTGCAGAAGGCACATTTAGGTAGCCGCGCTGCAGCCCCTTTCCTCTGTCCTGACATGACCAAAGGCTTTTTGTGTTTGCTGAAGTTTCTAAAGAAAAACAACAAAAACCCACCACAAATATATTAATGTTAAAATGACAAGATTACTTTGGATTATATGGGCAGGTAGAGCCTTGTAAATGGATGTTATCGAAGCAGTTACAGAAACAATTGTCCACTTGCACTCATCCAGGAACACTGCTTTGTCATGTCCTTTACATATAAGATTTGAGCTTCCATAACATACACATCAAATCATATTCACAGCTCATAACTGGAGGCTGTAAGACTTAAATGTCTTGGGATTTGTTGGCAATGCAGATTAGAAAATGAATGATGCCCAACATATTATTACAGCAATACGGTAATAAGATAACATTAAAAATTCGATTGTTCAGTAGTATAGAATAAATGTGTTAAAATTAGGGATATAACATTTTAAATCTGCATAGTAAACGTCGGCAGATATTCCTTACAGATTCAGTTGTTGAAGAGTAAACTGTGTTCTGGAAATTATGTTTTTTTCCACCATCTAAATGTGTGTATTGTGAAACAGTGAATAAAACCATTTGGACAAGAGCCATTAGAGACTCTTTCCCAGAAACAGCTGGAAACAAAACTTTTGTCTCAACTACTACTGCAAGTAACTCCGAAATAGAGCTCGGGAAGTCACAAAAGAAGTGCCCTGTGTCCTAAAAACACCCGTCTCTGATGAATCACACATGGGGGCCCACACATTTGTATCCAGACTACAGCTCGACACTTTCTCAGTTTTTGGTTGCCTGTAGTTAGAGTTGAGTTTCTGTTCTCTGTCGTATGAGCTCAAACCTGCAGAATAAATGTACACTAAAATTGCTGACGAATGCCAGTAAGTCAGTGAGATCCTGCTCATGTTTGAGGAGGTTAATCTATATAATGTTTATGTTTCATCATTAAATGTACAGACAATATCGGCACAACGCAGGCCGGCAGTAAACGACGTTCGACCAGTCGTCCCAGATCTAAAATGAGATTTAACAGGAGCAGGAAACTCAACAGCAGGACTCACATCTGCAAACCAGTTCACCCTACACATGAGGGATACTTTAACCAACAGACAAACCCCCCTCTATGACTATTTTTCTCTGCAACTGATGCAACATGTTTCCCATTTCGCATTCACAGTCTGCTCCAATATCCTGCCACATCTCAGCTGTCCCAACTTGCACCCTAATCCCTCAACGGAAAAATATAATTCACAGGGAATCTTGTATATTAGACTGTATTACCTGTTGTGATAAGCAGACACACACACATTACCAAGAGCTGGGGAGGATTTAAACATTATTGTGTTATTTCCAGGTGCATTTTAATAATGAGACCCTTTTAAAATGTTAGTTAATTAATCAACATCTTCTTTCAAAATCATGCAAAATTGGTTGCAAATTCCTCCCTGTATTCTTTTAGAGGAGTGGGTCAAATGTGTGTTGTCATTTGCAGAGGTAGCATGTTTGATGTTAATGTGCTGCAGGCGCCACACATACATTAAATAAAGAGGTTTTTTTTTAATATATATATAAATATTAAACCTTTAATAGTCCACAAACCAATATGGGTGCTTTTTAAAACAACAAAAAGCACAATAGCAGTGTGCTGCGACGCCTTGATAGAGCCATTACAGCCATGATAGCTGGGCCATGATTTCACTGCGGCGGCTCCAGCAGCGGAGCAAACACACAACACTGTCCGCCCTAAATAACCGAATATCCCCCCTTTTATCTCTACTACAACCTCTGCTCGCTGCTCCAAAAAACCCCTCTCATACCCCCCAATAACCCTCTGCTACATGGCGAGGTTGTGGCCGATGCGTGGCGAGAAGAAGTGAAACATTTATTTAAAAAAAGCAAAGAAAAAAAAAAGCACCAAAAAAAGTGGCCTCACATTTCTTCCTCCAAAGTTTTGAATTAAAGGGGGTGTGTGTCTGTTTCTGCACCGAGCTGAGCACAATCCTCATGTGAACATCATCTACGCCCTCGGAACAGCTCTCCTAAGGCCCCTTTTTTCTTTCTACGTGGAGGGAAATAAAAAGCTCGATGTGTTTTGGTGCTCGAACCAGAAACAGAAAAAACGCGAATATTTCCCTTTAAATGTAAAAGGGGGGTGAAGTTAACATGACAGGCGCGGGTCTTCGCAAACCGTTTCGAAGCAAAGAGCGCCATACGTGATGTCTCGTTGCCTTGCGGGGAAAAGAGAGAGCAACCTCGGCTTGTAGTCCAACTAATGCGGCCCCCTCGGAGCGGCTGCAGGCCGTAAACACCGCGAACAAACACCGAGCCGCTGACACACAGCTCACATCTTACCTGCTCATATAATCTTATCGCGCCAGAGACGGTTGAAAACGATGGAGGGGGGGAAAGTGGTCCGAGCAGTGACTGTGTTTTCTTTCCGTCCTTCAGAAGTGATCGTGAGCTTTTTCTTTTTTTCTCTCTCTCTCCCCTCCCCTCCCCTCTTTTCCTTCGCTTTCCCTCGCTCGGGTTAGCATCAAGCTAACTACGGTGGCCCCGAAGGCAGCGGGGGCTTCCGGGTGCGGCTTTTCAGAATAAAAGTCGCTGTTGACGAGCGCGCGTCGGGAGGTTTCACACGTGGAAAAGATCCAGGAAGGTGTGAAGAGTGTGTTGGAGACGAAAAGTGCTTTACAAGGAAAAAGTACTTGGTTTGTACTTGGATTTTTGAAGTGTCGGTATTTGATGTTACCTGTGTTTTCAATCCAAAACAGATGTGACAGATACTAGCATCTAAGTATATGTTCAATAAAATGTAATTATAAAACTAATTCCAGGTCTATTTGTCACAAACAGAGAAGTATTAAGTGCTCTCCCATGTCAGCTGCAGTTTCAGAGTGTGGCAAGTAGTTTGGGGTAATTTCTTTAACTGCAGATTTGTTAGATAATGTTACAAATGTGTTAGATAATGTTACAAA